AAATTATTAATCAAAGGAAATCATTCCAATATACCAACTAGGCTTATTAGAATATTCTACCTAAGTTATAGTGAAATTATGATTTTAATACTATACAACATACTGAAATCTCTAAAGTAGCTGAGGAGGATCTAGACCTCATAAAAAATGGGTCAGTGTTCTCCCATTACCATTTTTATCCCTGTAAGTCAACAGTAGTCTTTAAATGTCCAGAATACTCTGTCTATAAGCTAATTTTATAGCAAGCTTAAAAGTTTTAAACTACTGAGGTAGGAACTGAACTATTTTCAAAGACAACATGCTTTTCCACTGATTAATTTCACAAAATATGCAACATTAAGAGTACTTTGTGTTGACTGCTCCTCCTTTTTTAGTCACTCAGTCCTACAAAAGTGCTCTCTGTGATGACCTGATATTTTGTGGGAGTCATAAGACAACAAAATAAAACAGTGGTTCCTTTTGTGTGTCTGGATGCCACACCACATTTTTATAGAAACATTTTGATCTGATTAATTTTGTTATTGATAAATGTTTCAGCATAGATATTTAATAATCCAATTTTCTTCCAAATAATATCCACATGGAAAATATATTAGATTTAATCTTGAAATGGAAAACTGAGTACCAAAGGCAGGCTGGAAGGAAAGTGAGTTACACCTGACTATTACATATTTAACACACAGAAAGAGAAACTGGGGCATCAACATGAAAGAACATTGTAGTCTACAACTTCTTCATGAGAGGAAGAGGAGGGGCAGGCACTGACCTGTTCTCTGTGGTGACCAGTGACAGGGAGTGGCCTGAAGTTGTGTCAGGGGAGATTTAGGTTGGATACTAGAAAGAGGTTCTTCACTGAGAGGGTGGCTGGGCACTGGAACAGGCTCCCCAGGGCAGTGGTCACAGCACCAAGCCTGACAGAGTTCAAGAAGCATTTGGATGATACTCTCAGGTACATGGTGTGACTCTTGGGGATGGTCCTATGCAGGACAAGTTGGACTTGATGACCCTTGTTGGTCCCTTCCAACTCAGCATATTCTGTGATTCTGGGAAAACTTTGGTCATCAGGAGATGCATGTGTTTATCAAGCTGTATTGTTACTCTTCTGGTGCTTGAGCACCAATTATCAGATGTTAGCAGTAAATGAAAATCCCATAAGCTGCTAAGGCATGTCACCTTCTCTTGTTGGTTCCACTGTGTTCTGCCAAATTGTTTATTCTATCTTCTTTGTCTTTAAAGTTTCTTGCCAGACCAAGATATCCACCTTATCTTAGAATTCTTATAACTTCTTTTTACTGACTTACAACAATTAAATTAACTTTATCAATTCAGGTTGTCTAGTTTTATGTTGCATGTGAATATAACTTCTCAACAGCTCAGTTGTGCATTCAGTTTCACAGCCTAGTCCTTCATTTATTCCAATAACCCCCTGGAAATCACACGACTATAACATAGCAGCAGCTTTGAATACACAGCAAGAACACTTGGACGGGTAAAGGACTTACTGGTATAATTTCCATGTTTTGCCATGTGACAAGGCTATAGAAGGCTAATTATCTTCATGTAGCTAGGGAGCCTTTGAAATAAGTAATTTTAAACCACAATTAAATTTTTTTTTCCAAATTGACTTTTAGTGTGACCAGACTTTGGTTAACTTGTTGTCTGGTCTTGGGATCTTCACGTGAAAAGGAAATACCGAGGTCATTACATAATTTAGTTATTTCCCTTATTTTCAGACCTAATACATATTCCTACCTAGTGCCAGACAGAGTATTTCAGTTGGTGGTACTTATATTTAGCTAAGTGAGAAGCATTAATCACCATTTCCTGACATAGCACCCTTGAAAAACGCTAAAGTACTTCTATTTAAATTTCATTCACTCAATCACTTTAAAAAAAATTTATTTCTATGGAATATTAGTGTGGAGATTTGAACTGGTGGTTTGCTTTACTAAATAGGTTTCCATAAATACAATTAATTACAGCCATCAGATAGATTCCTACACATTAGATTGGAATGTATGTCATCTAGTAACATACCTCATACTTTTAAAGGCTAATCGGTCATTAAAGTGACCTCCTGCTTCCATAATTCCATAGCCAAAGAATTCCTACTTGTAGAAGGGACAAGTCACATTCAATCAATACAATGCAGATTATGTTTCATCTTTGACCTTTTCACCTACACTCAGCCCAATATTGAGTTTCTCTGGGACATATTTTTGACAATCAAACTCACTGGACAGTTAAGTTTCCATAATTTCATAGACTGGAAAAGAAAATTTTTATTTTCCAAAGCTCCTCCATTATGGAATTAAAAGGACTACAGGAGTCAGCCTTAATCTCTTTTATGAGGTTTTCTGATGAAAGGAAGTTCGGCTCAGATCTTGCATTATAGAATTGAGCACACCACACTGAAAATCTGAATCTCTGCATACATATAATAAGCAGTCTCTTCCAGAATTTGCATACTAACACAAAGCCTGCCTCCTCATCCCATTTTGATTACACCTACCTACAGCTCACACCCGGTCTGCTTCACACCCACTTTTCTCATTACTTCCAACTGACTGCCGTGCATTCTCTTGTAATGTCAACAACTTCTCTCCTCTAGTCTATGTAGGTGCTAATAAAGAAAATTGAAATCCAGTCACCACACTCTCACATCTTGCATTCAGGATAAAAGAAGATAAACAATGTGAGGGAGCCCTAGCAGAGAAATTTCTGTCTAGCCTCAGCTATCTCAAGCTCAAATACACTCAGAAAAAAATGTGCTGTTCAATAAAGCAGGCTTTCATAAACTCCAGTGTATATGAAGGACATACAAGAAGGGCATCCCTGATTAATGGCACCACAGAGCTCAGATATCCAACAAGCCCTTGCTGCAATGCTTGGAGATGTCTAATAATCTAATATGACCAAAACATCCCATGCTTTTCTAATCTTTTTTTTTTTTAACATAGAAGTAATTATTTTTGGAATTTTCCAACAGCTTTTTAACTAGTGGAAAAAAGAGTTATAGTCTAAGTATTTGCCAAGGGCTTAATGTAACTGACTAAAAAGAGAAGCCACATTGTTGAACAACCATAAGTACTCGCAATGTAAATATATCAATCTTCCCACTCTTCCTAAATGAAAAGATTTGTTTCTGGGCCTTTTATATTTGAAGATTTTTTTCTAAGAAAAGGTTTACATGCATAGTGGTGAATGGTATTATTTTTGGGGGGGGGCGTAGAAATTTGGTTCTCTGATAGTGATATATTAGACAGGTTACTATTATATATATATATAATATTTAAAAAGAAATAAATGTTTTTGTTTTATTAAGTTGGTAGAACTGCTCATTCATCATCACTCAATTCTTTTGTAACAACTAGTTCCAGGCTCCTTAAAGTGTCTATTTTTTGGCTGTAGGAATCTAACACTAATTGGACAGTCTGTCATGTGCAGGTTGTCTTTACACAACACTCTGTAAAGACCTTTTTTGCCACTGAGATGACTTTGTCAAAATCTACTTTCAGTTCACTGAACTGAGAGTGTATTTTTCTAAGCTGCTTTCCTAATTCTTAGGCTCTGTACTCGTTTCAAGAAGCTTTGGGTTTGTCTCTGCTAAGACTGTTTTCCAGAGATTAATATAAATTTGTTAGGATTTCACTGATGACACTGCAAAGATTCAAAGTTGCCTGTAACAATTGGAGTACCAGGCTTTGCTATCTGAAAAAAACCCAAAACTAACAACCCCACAACTTTTCAATGCTCTGTGGTTACTCAAAGAAGCATTTAATTGGTTAAATGAAAGGACCAGTCAGAATATAGCTTTTGAGGCTACACAGTGGCATTATTTACTGTCAGGGAACACTATTCCCTTTAAAAAGCCTTGAAAACTGCAATTTAATTAAGTGGAAGCCTCTCTCTGATTCTCACATTGTAGAATATATTCTATAAAACAAAGACTGTGTTCCATTTTGCTTACTAAACTAACGTCTGCTCATCTCTCTTCCTTCCAACCACTCAGCAGTCCACTCAATCAATTTGTTGCTGTTGCCTAGTTATCAGGAGATCAATTCTGCTACCATTGAGAGAACATTAGATTCCCCATTGATTTCAGTAAGGGAGGATTAGTTCCAGACTGTCTACTAACAAGATGTTACCTTCATTACGGCATTTGGAGGTGCTTCTGTTTGGCAGGCTAACAGGAGTTGGTTTAGTAGGTAAGATGGCAACACGCTGTTGTATCAAATCCACAGTTTCTTGTCTAAGGAAGTTCTAACAGAAGTGTTCATAATTTAACTGTTATGCTTGTATGCATGTAGGAAGTTGGTTGCACCTTCTCTAGCTTGACTAGAAGAAAACAATTATCATTTATCTACTGTTGGGCAGAGCTTACAAAGGCCCTGACCACAGCTGGTAGGGTAATGATCACAGTTCTTAGCAATCTGACAAGAATTTCTGACATGTGGAGCAAAGCTCACTGGGATCTGACTGCTGACTTCAAAGGCAAGATTCCTGTCAGCTTCAGTTAACTTCAGCATCTGCAACTTTTGGCTCTCACTGCGTTCTGATTTTATCAGCACATCCCTAGCACACACCTGAGCTCAAGGGAGAGGCATTAAGCTTGCACTGACCTGACTTGGCATGTCCCCATGTCCCAGCACAGTGCTGTACAGGTTACCACCGACCCTGAAACAGCGCGAGCAGAATACTAAAGTAGTAATTAATCAACCCTTCCCCTTAACAAGGCTAATTGCCTCAGAGTTGATGCCTTGCTGACGCAACTGTTCTGTGTCTGCTTTTCAGTAACTTCAGCATTCTCCAGAGTAGCAGGCAGCCACAGACACATTCATCATCCTTTATACAAAGTACTCATGATTCTCTAGCACTCCATCATCATGGCTAGGCTTCGCGAACAAAGATATGAGAAGGGCTCTACCCATGAAAGGCAAATACACTTTTCAGGAAAGGGATGCTAGTCTGAGAAATAACTAAAAATCTCAAATTCATACCTCTCTGATAGCTGTACAAAACTCACTCTGCAGCACCTTCTTTAGAGACTGTAGCTTGTGTACTGGTACTTCTCCAGATTCTTGCAGTTTCTCCAGTAACTCAATTGCTCTTGCAACATCTGAGTTGGGAAAACAAAACACAGATCAGTATAAACAGTGACTTATAAGTGACTAAAAAGGGCACACTGGTGGTCATTTTAGATTTAAAATCAGCTTTACCAACACATACTGTACTACTCTTCTGTTATACCAGAGTCTGCTAGGAAACAACACTGCTGTTGAGAGATCCAAATCCCTAAGTATGGACAAACCATGTACACGTACAGCAAACACAGAGAGGTTCAGTCTTAGCAGCAGACACTGTTTGCAACAATGCTATCAGTTCAAACTGGCTAATCCATATTAGGACCAAATATTTCTTACTTTCTGCATAAGAGAAATAGCACAGGAAAAGAATGGGGTTTACTTTCAGAAAGTCTGAAAAAATGAAGCTGAGTCTTTATGTAAGCACTGCCACAGTGATAACACCCAAGAAAAGTATTTGATTTTTTTCTTCCCATAAATCTAAATCTAAATATCAACTAATAAAGTTTTCCAGAGACAGGTAAAGTCTGCTCTGGAAGACCAGGAAGTCTGCTAGAGAAGAGTAAATGTAAGGTTCTTGTCTAGGTCTCCAAAGACCTCATCTACCACACAAAACCTATATGACCCATAGAAATACATGGAATAGTGGTTTTGGTGGCCTGAATTCTCCTTAAGCACCTGTGTATTGTCAAGGGAAAGATCTAAGTGTTTCTGAAGAAAAGTCCAGAAGGCTTAAGTGAGCAGCCCTACTGATTGGTCAGCAGGAATCTGATCCAGTTGAACAGTGCCCATACCCTCACTCATATTTTTTCTCTTTAACACTGGTTCCTAATTTACATACCCATTACTAAAATAAATTAAAAAAAAAAATCAACCCAACCCATGAGATGACCAACAACCCTTATGGCTGAGGACACAGGGGCACAAGAAATAGTGGCTGGAGTCATGGAGGCTAGCCTAGTCAAGTAAGGGACCCGCTGACCTGCATGTAGGAGTGAACTGAGCAAAACATTCTGGTCAGCCTTCAGGACGATACGAACTTAAACAGAGGGATTTTTCCTCCTCTGCCACCTAAGCCTTGCAGCTTTTCCCCTCAGTTTACTTGTATAGTTGAACCTGATAATGCTGTTATCTCGATTGTGTGGTCATTCTCAAGTCTTCTAATGTCTTTTGCATAGCAACCAGAGCCACTACTGGCCAGTTTCACCACTCTACTAAATATAGGTCTGTATTCCAGTGATGAAATGAATGCATAGTACTAAATGATAAAACAGTATTTGGGACATTTTAATTCTGCACTTGAAGTGCAAAAGAAAAAAAAGAAATAAATATTCCTATCCACAACTCCAGAATTACTACAAGGTCTAGAAGCAACCTTATATAATTCTCCTTTCCGATGAAAAAGATTACACTGTTTGTGACTGGGAAATTATGCTAATTGAAACAGTTCTTACAATCCTTGGCTTGTAGCTGAGCTATACTGACCAGATGTCTGATACAACAAAGACATGAGAAGTTTTCTGAAAATAGAAAAGACATGACAGTAGATGATGCAATAGGAATTAAATCATAATCTTATATTTTCACTTAGAAGAAAATAATTATTATCCAGCTGCATCGGTGTTAGGAAAAGAGAAGATGACATCTTAAAAAATTTGCAATTTAATTAAAAGAGGCAGGCAACTAGTCAGCATAGTCAATTCTGCCTTAGTAGATTAACAGCCAAATAATTTTTTAGAGGCATTTGCCAAATGCAGTTCAAAGCATAAGAGGAAGCATGGCAGAAAGTACACAGTGTTTCTTTCAGGAGGATGTTTCCACTTACAGTCTTGGAGTTCATGAACTTTCACATGAAACTAACCCTAACCTTGTGTTAAAAGACTGCATCTGAGCTTCTGCTCCAAACAGTGCTTCAACTGCTATTGGGCATCCAGTCCTTGTTACTACATCACAGGTATATCAACAACAACTCCTCTAAAGCTCTTACTGAGATGATGATGAGAAAGCTAAAAGGATATCTAGGAAATAATAAGGCCATGGAAATCAAGAAAAAATTAGATTCTAGAGAGAAGAATACAACTGATGGGAGATAACAAATCAAAGAGGATAGTTTTAAGATTTAAGAAGAGATAAGCACACTTTTCAGCAAGAACCATTTCAGTGGATTGCAAAAGAACAGTAAAACAGTAAATGAAATATAGAATCACAGAATTGTTTAGGTTGGAAACTCGGTATGAAAACCTAACACGATTTTTTATGTTCTCAGTAATAATACGGTTAAGGGATTTTTTAACAAAGCTATTGAATCATTTGCCTTGGAATTTTTCTTTTTAAGTCCGTATCTGTCACACAAGACTTTCATTTAGTTAAATACTAAACTCACACTCCCTAGTTATTAGTACCAGTTGGTGCAAATTGGTATGTCAGACAGCACAAAGCAATTGGGTTATTTATTCCAAAAGAGCTTCAACAGCCTTCCATAATAGATCAGAAAAGGTCTCTGTAATTCATGTGATACATGATGATAAATCTGGGGTCTTATCCAGTGCCAGTTGAGGTAAATTTTGAACTGCTTTTGCCTCTCACCAGCTATCCTTATCAAAAATAGTGCCAGAAATGTCAGATTGGTTCTTATTTTGCAGTTGTTTTGAAGTTTCATCACCACATCTGAAAATTCTGTGAATCACCCCAAATTTGCTATGTTCCTGAACTAAACTGTATTAAATGAAAAATCTGTACTGATTAGAGTGAAACATAAAAAGCTTTATCTTCATTAATCAATCTAGAATAGTTAACTACAGGTCTAAGTATTTCACTAGGACGTGGGCCAGACTCTAGATGATAATTAATCACTTCTAACGTGATGATTGTTACAATACAGATGATAAATCCATATTCTGGTTGAAAAGTCTAGCATGGGTGCTTAGTATGTAGTCTCATAGGCAAAATTGGGCACTAAGTTGTCATTAGCCAATACCAGATTACTTAACTTTCTGACTAAGAAGTGATTGGAGATTAAAAAAAAGCAGAATATCCCAAGAGCACTCTGATTTCACACTTCTGGATTCATCCACCATGCTAAAATACATGAATGCTGATGACCAACACTCTGCTTTTTATTCACCTATCATATCTGTTTACAGTAAGCAGTCATCTTTCTCTTGTCACCATTAGGCCCAGGGCTTGCTCAGTTTGGCAATGACCTGTGGGATATTGCTCAGAGTAGAAAGACTGTGGAATAATATATAAATTACAGAAAGAAAATGAGGCATGTGTTCAGGGCCAAAGATGTTTGTTATCAGCTGATACTCTGTCAGAAACAAAATACAACAGTTGGCATGAAACAGAAGACTTTGAGCAGGCCAAAAATGCATAAACATGAGTGTATAAAATAGGGCCTCATGAAATAGGCTGTATGTCCTTCCATTAATAACTCTGAAGGGGAGACTTAAATGAACAATTGCTTTTGGACAGGTTAAAAAGTGAAATTTATCAGTGCACAAGAACTTAAGTGATGCATAGGCTTTTTGCTTATGGTTCTCTCAAGTTGAGCTCCAGCTAAAACTAAAGTCTTTGCTTGAAGAAGTGATATGACTGGCAACGAGGAAGACTTCCAAGTTACATTATTCCCAAGCACATAGCAGGGAATCCACCCCTGTTGAAGTCAATTAGAATTATCATATGTTCGATATATACTGCTAGGATAATTCTTGTCTCCAATCGTCCTCTGATTATAAATCTAACCAACTTTGATTGTAAGGAGTTTTGCTTAGATATGATTTTCTTACATACTTGTGGAATGGGCAAATTGCTGAAAAGAGGGTGTGTGCATTTATATAGATATATGTTAAAAAAATTCCTGGAATGATGTTAAAATTAGTTAAGTTCTACACAAAGGAAATCCCCCCTTGCTTTTTATTTCTGTGTATTTCTTTTGTCCTTTCTTTAAGCAAAGATATTGAACTGAACTTTTGAAAAGGATTGTTTTGCCTACTCTCAAACATTTTCCAAAATATGAACTCCATTATACTAAAATGAAACTCGTGCTAATGCCATTGAAATTTATCTTCATTTCCTCCATTCATATCCCACAAATTGATAGGAACTGAGCTGATGTGGGTAGAACTATTTCTCTGTATTCTATGATGCATACATTTTAAAAGGAATATATACTTATTTCCCCCCTTATTACAGCCAACTCTCACTTCACCTTTTTTCTTTAATTATCTCCTTTTTTTCTGATTTCTTCATAGATATGCACAATTCCTCTCTCTCCCATTCTGTTTACCATTCATTTCTCTTTTCTCATCATCATGCTTGCCTACAGCCTTTCACGAAATAATACTGTTTCAGTGTGGTGGGTCACATTATCAGCGGAACACAGAGAAGGCTGGAGGCTGCAGGTGGGTGGAACATATTTTATCAAGTGCACTCATCAGAAGAAAAGCATGACTCTCAGAAAAAAAAATCTTCATTTCAAGTGTTCTTTCTGTATTTTCACTTGAATGATGCTTCATTTGCACTGCTAGCAGGACACAAGCAGAAGGTTACTAAACAAACCCTGAGAAGAACCACTAGAACACAGTAGTAGCAGGATAACATACTGCAGTACAAGTGGAACACTGTATACGTGTATGTATACATAGATATATAGTGTAGGGCAGTTGAAAAAAAAAAAAGGTCAATTGGCTTAGTTATCAGTTCATTCTTTTATATATTGTTTTCACTTGCTGGCTCTTGTTCAAATAGCTAGCAATGAACACTGCAGACTGATCTGTTTTATTTGCTAGATCTTTTAAAAAGCAAATGCTTTTTCCAATACAGCTTTTACAACTTGACAGCAAATTATGAATTCACAGAATGAATCTGGGCTGGTCTGAATTTGGTGCTCCTTCATATTACCATTAAAATTGGCTAGATCAGGCTCCAGAATTCTCTGAAAAATTTTTCAGCCTGAGGTTTCACTCTGGTAGATTTTGTACAGGTTTTATGTTTGTCTCAGTTTAGTCAAGTTGAAAGTTATTAGGAAAAATGT